TGCATATTTTCAACTAGAGATAAAATGCATTGTTTATTTTGCTTTCAAAATCTATTGTTTTGTCATTTTATTTTAAATTTGTATTGATTGTACATTTTATATAAAAATGTATTGCTGGTATTTTTACTATAAAAGGAGACAGCTGAGAACACAACAATCTTCTAAAAATTAATATATAAGCGTGATGAGCTTACTCCAATGTATATCTGTTGAACAAAAGTTTTCAAATGCTAATTTGTTTGACATGCTAAATTAAAACAAGGCCACCCTGGGTATCATGATAAACTAAATCCGACAACAAGGCCTCTGATCAGGAGATTTTTGCTGTTCCCAGATCCAACCTGACCCGGGGTGATAGCACCTGTTACGGGTCCCAAATATGGGCAAATAGTTGACCCCCCAAAAAAAAAAAAAACAGGAGTCAAGACATTATGAAAATGTAAACATAGGTTTTAATACCAGCAATACATCTTTGCAAAAGATTATTAACAGCAATACATTTTTGAAAAAAAAAAAGCAGCAATACATTTTTTGAAAAACATGTATTACCAGCAATAAAATTCTTGTAGGAATTAAATAACCCATAGAGGTTGATATGCCGTAAAACAAATCAAAACAAACCAAAGCTAAAAAGAATGAACGAATAACTATTTTGTGCAAAAATGTGTTTAAAGATCGGAATTTTCAGATTGTTTCCTTTCGTAAATGTTCTTGCTCTAAAAACAGAAACTCTTCAGAATAAGGATAATATATTTATTTATTGATGCTTTGTCCATTTGAACATTTTAATTCACTAAGTCTTTAATTTAACAACGTGCACAGAATTCTCCAAATAGGCGTTGGGAATGTTTGTAATAATTATTCCGATAGTTTCTAAAACGCTACTTGTCGAAGAGATAACGGATGTAGAGGCAGTTTGCATTTTGAAGAGCAGTTGTAAGTATGCGTCATTTCATATAGTAACCATTGTTACAGTTTGCAGAAGAAAAAAATGAATCTTTAGCGTCAACCAACGTGTAGGAGGTAACACATGCTCAACGCCTTAATTATTAAGGACGAATAACTTGCATGAATGAATTATCAAATGTCTGTCAAACAGTCTGTTTTAAAAGGAGGATGCTTTGCAGCAGCTACCAATATATTGCGCCTCACCTGACCATCTTTCAGTCACTGAATCATCCTCTCTACCCATCACATCTACCTCTAGGGACCCTCCCGCTTTGCTGCTTCACTCACACCAAGGCTGTCGCTCTCCCATGAGAAGCTCTACCCGACGAACCGGGAATGCGACCGTAGTGCACACATAACGTTTTTGTTTGCACTTGGTTTTTCAATTATGGCGGGAACACTCAACTGATTTAATTTCTTTGCAATGCGTAGTGTCCCAGCCCTTATAAAAAAAAACCCAAAAATAACGGATTGAATGAAAAAAATATAAGACAGACATGAAAGAAGAAGAAGAAGAAGAAGAAGAAGAAGAAGAAGAAGAAGAAGAAGAAGAAGAAATGAACCCTCATTTAAGTTATATGTCAATCTGGTTCGTCATTTTTTCGCTTCCCGAATCCAACAAACCTCTTTACATTTTTCATAATTCTTTCTTTCTTTCTTTCTTTCTTTCTTTCTTTCTTTCTTTCTTTCTTTCTTTTCGTATACACATTTATCACTGCTCCTCCTTTTCTTTCTTTCTTTCTTTCTTTCTTTTATATTTCTTCTTTTCGTATACAGATTTATCCACTTCTTTCTTTCTTTCTTTCTTTCTTTCTTTCTTTCTTTCTTTCTTTCTTTCGTATACACATTTATCATTGCTCCTCCTTTTCTTTTCTTTCTTTTTCTTTCTTTTCCAACTTCAGTCGCAAATTGCAGCGTCCTTACACATTACTATTTAATGACTTTCTCATTTTTTTCTTCTTCCAAAGGCAAACTATTTAGTCATCTTTTAACGATTCACTGGTTCTTGTCATTTCTCCTTAGAACGCCTTAAAAATTCCTTTCTACGCATTCATGTACGTATGTATTAGTTATTGTCAGCATTAGCATTAATTTCATTCTTAATTTTCTTCGTAATTTTCCATTATTCTTGCTTTAGTTATTGGCTTAACTTATGGTCATCGCTTCATAGATACCGTTGGTGCATAGCACGAAGTTAAAGAAGGTAAACTGAAAATAGATAGATAGACAGATAGATATATATGAACAGAATGAGATAGATCGATAGACAGATATGGACAGAATTATATATATATATATATATATATATATATATATATCCAAGTATATAATTGGTATATATGGAATGAATTCCAATAACCAACAATTACTATTCTTAAAAGAGTGCTCAATACAAAGTAGAGCCGATATAATTATTATTTATAAAAAAATTATAACATAAGTATGTTATAAAATCACTACAAAAATAGCCATTTTGTTTCAACACACTCGGTGTCTTATCAAGTGATGATGTAGTGATTTTATAACATACTTATATTATAATTTTTTTATAAATAATAATTATATATATGTATATATACACGGTGTCCATAAAGTTCGTGTGCACTTAAGAAATTATAACTTTATTTGTATTTGCGATAGAAATAATTTGTAAAAAGGATTAGAAAGAAGTAAATCTATATTTTTTTAAGGTTTTATTGAAATTTTATTTAAGTTTCCACATGTTCTCCATCATTAGCAATGCAAAGTGTAATACGCTGGTAAAAAGAAAATAATTTTTTTACTTATGTAAAAATTGTTGTAAATTTTGTGGTAAAGAATTATTCAATAACTATACTTAAAACTAGGTACATTAAACTTTATAACATTTTTTACAGATTATTTCTATCGCAAATACAAATAAAGTTATAATTTTTTAAAATTGTACACGAACTTTATGGACACCGGGTATATATATAATGAGATAGATAGATAGATATGGACTGTCTTGACATAGATAGATAGATAGATAGATAGATAGATAGATAGATAGATAGATAGATAGATATATAATCTTTTTCCTACAAATCTAAATATTATTTTGTGTATCTACATGTCTGAGCAGAATCTCTCCTTTTTTTCTGGTTAATTTTTTTTAAAGTATTCTGGATTAGGTCTACTGGCCTAGACATTTGAAAGACTTAATAAAGAGGATGTACAGAGCGTCTACCCAAGCATAGGTAACCACAAACTAGGGTTTAGTAAAAAATTATATCGGCTTAAAAAATACATTGATATACGGATCAATATTACTCGATAGATAGATAGATAGATAGATAGATAGATATATACATACATACATACATACATACAGAAAAATAGAAACAAAAGCACTGCAATAGATAGATAGATACAAAGAGTCTGTTACACACAAACACACATTGATTTTCCTAGCGTAGGTTAGATGTGGCACAAGGCCGAAAGTAGGGGGCACTATGTGAGGATCGAACTCACTACTCAGTCGTAATTTTTTGGCGAGACAAGCTTACTAACCATTACTCCACCTCGAGGTGCCCCCTCCCACATATATATGGATAGATAGAAACATACATACAAAGTCTATACAAAGGTATATATATTTGTGTGTGTATATATATATATATATATATATATATATATATATATATATATATACATATATATATGCATATATATATATATATATATATATATATACATATGCATATATATATATATATATATATATATATATATATATATATATACCATTTTATTAGTTAAAAAGAGACACAACCATAAGATTTTAAAATCTGGATCCCCTCAACCTCCATCTTTAATAAGGCAACATATTGTTTTCTATTTTCAAATGTAAATAATTTTCATCAAAATGTTACCGAACATTGCCTGATGACAAGATAATAATTTGAAGTCCCGAAACATATATATACGCACATATATATTCTCTCTCTCTCTCTCTATATATATATATATATATATATATATATATATATATATATATATATAATATAATATAATAATAAAAGGCTTAAACACTAGTACTCCTCCATGGTCATAATTTATTACATTGTAATCGTAAATACGATCCAATTCATCAGACCTACAAATTCAATATATATATATATATATATATATATATATATATATAGATAGATAGATAGATAGATAGATAGATAGATATCAAAGTGTGAAAACGTTTTAGGAGAATGCTAATTATAAATTATGCATAGAAAGCTTAGAATATGTAGAAAACTTCTAAGATAGAAATAGAAGGAAAATTAAAGAAACATATGAAAAAAAAAAGGGAGAGAGAAAAAAACGGTGAAAATAAGTCAGAAAGAAATAAGAAATATTTTATAGAATATTTTGAAAAGAATGAAAAATACCGGTGAAAAGATGATTAAATACTGAAAATACAAAAGGAGAAACAAACTGTTAAAACATTAAAATTAAAAATAGTAGAAAAGAAAAGAAAAAAAATACGGGTGATAGGGGAAAATGTGTTAAAGAAAAGAAAATCAACAATGAGGCAAGATATTTATAGGTACAAAGAATTTCACCGTTATATCAATCAATTGACCCGTAATGGTCACCAGGATAAAATTTATCGCACGTCTGAAAGATTGATTTCAGTTTCCGAGCTTGAATCAGCATAAAACGAATTTGGAAATTCGCGCACAAATTGTAGAACAAATTCAGAAACCTTGGAAACAAAAGAGACTAAGACAAAAACGTTTGAAAAATGAGAATTGAAACATTTCTAGGAGATAAAACGGGTTGTAGCGGAAGGACAAAGAGAGAGATGAACAGAGAGAATGGGAATATTAGAGAATATATGAGAGAGGGAGAGAGAGAGAGACGGAGAGAAAAGAGTAGAGAATTTAAGAGAGAGAAAAAAAGATTACAGATTTTAAGAGAGAGAGAAGATTAGGAATATGATAGAGAGAAAGAAAGAAAAGGAAGATTAGAGAATATAAAAGAGAGAAGCTGGTGATTAGAGAATTTAAGAGAGAGAGAGAAAGAGAAGATTAAGATTATAAGTGAGAAAGAGAAATATAAGAGAGAAAGAGAGAATTTAAGAGAGAGAAGTAGAAGACTAAAGAACATACGAGAGAGATGATGATGATTAAAGAATTTAAGAGAGAGAGAAAGAGAATGTTAGGAATATGAGAGAAAGAGAGAGAGTATATAAGCGAGAAAAGGAGAATAGAGAGTATGAGCGAAAGAAAGAGAAGAATAAAGAAAATAAGATAGAATGTGATGATTAGAGAATTTAAGAGAGAGAGAGAGAGAGAAAGAAGATTAAGAATAAAAGAGAGAGAAAAAAAGAGGAAATTAGAGAATATAAGAGAGTGAAAGAGAAGATTAGATAATATAAGAGAGAGTGAGAAAGAGAAGACTAGAGAATATAACAAACATGGTGATGAATAGAGAATTTAAGAGAAAGAGAAGATTAAGAATATAAGAGAGATAAAGAAAGGGAATATTAATGAATATAAGAGAGAGAAAGAGAAAGAGAAGATTAGAGAATATAAGAGAGAGAGAAGATTAGATAATTTAAGAGAGTGAAAGGAAGGATTTGTGAGGAACGACTTAATAATAGACAACTAGAAAATACAAACGCGGTTAATAGGAAGATTGTGAAAAAGTAAGAAAGAAAGAAAGAAAGAAAGAAAGAAAGAAAGAAAGAAAGAAAGAAAGAAAGAGAAACAGAAGGTGAGAATAAAGTAGCAGAGTAGAGCAAAAGTAGAAAAATCGTCATGATTTGGGCAAAGGGGAGAAACAAAGGCACCAGTGATAATAAACGTCTCTCTATTTAGTTCGGAAAACCTTAACATAAAACTCAAAATTACTAGAACAAAGGAAAGAGGAGCAAAAAAATATATATATAGTAGAGGGGTGAGGAATTAGAGAAAAGAGAGATAGAAGAAATAATAAGGAAGAGGAGGATATATAGATAGACTAGGTCAGAGAAAAAGAGTAGGACATTTGAAGAGTAGAAGAGAGATGGAGACAGAGGCAATAGAGGTTATAAATTTCTCTCCATCTTGTTACAAAAGCTTCTGTTGACAATGTGCTAACAACGGGGAAAAACCCGAACGGTTTTCGATAGAAAAGTTACTTGAGTTTTGTTTAAGTATAGGATGCATGGTCGCCCTTGTCTCTCTGTTTACATAATTTCATTTCAATTTCTTTATCCCTGTATTCACCATCACTATACTTCTCACTCTTACTCTTTAAATCCTTCAACCTTTTCATTCATTCGCTGATTTGTCCCTCAACCACCCCTTCTCTCTGTTCTCTTGTTCCTCTCCTCTCCCCGTCATTTTATTTTTCCCGCCTTTCCCTGTCTTCCACATTGGCAAACATTTACATAGTTTTCACTCGCTATACGGTCTCCCTCTTCATTTCCGATCTGATTTAAACTCCTGTTATGAACTGACTGACCAACAACTGTCAGCGTCATTTAATAAGTGACACACACAATTACACACTCTCCTACAAACATACATTTTACAGGCTTTATTATATACTCACACATATAAGCACATACACACACAATAGTACGTGTACACTGCTTTGACGAACTCTTATACACACGCATACGCACAGACATATATTCAATTATGCATATATACGCAACACTTACACCTATATACAAAACTAAAAGAGTGCGACTTAATACACATTTGCATATAAATACGCAAAATGTACTAACGCGTTCACAAAAGAATAATTAGTAAAAGGCATTGAAATTTTCACACACGCATGCGTAGAAACAGACTTTTGTTTTCACGCAATTATAAAAGTATCGAGACAAAAGTTATTTATGTAAAGGCAGTGTGATACACAGACACAATTTTAGATTTGCTTTACCCATTGACAAAATAACGCATGAATATATACTAGCATATATATATATAAATACAAAATACATACAACGTTATCATTCAATAGATACATTGACAAATTTACGCAGAAAATTGTATACCATGTTTTATGCATTAATTTTTTTCTTTTACCGGTACTATATATATATATATATATATATATATATATATATATTACACGCATACTCGATCGTTTTTTCAGACACTGCGATACACAAAGATAATATTGATTATACTGAATGGATTCATAAAATATTAACACAAACACACCTATAATGTAGATATAATGCAAAGTATACATTTAAACATTTCAACGCAAATATTAATGTCCTAAATCAGAAAAAAAATCATACTCACTGATTACAAATGCCTAATGCGTATTGTGAGCCATCGGCATTGTCAAGCGAATACATTTTAGTTTAGCCTGAATGGCGTATTTAGTGTAATAGCTCCCTGTGTTGCAAACTACAGACTCTACGATCATTGCTCTATCATATAAAACGATATTGTGTCAACGGTAGTATGACAAGAATATTTTGTCTTCTATATGAATCATATCACTGATATGATTTGTTATGGCGGCTGTACATCATATGACTATTGCAACGGGGCACCTTGAGGCGGTGTAATGTTTAGCAATATTTTCTTGCTAGAACAATTACGACTGAGCTTTGTGCCACATTTGAGCTACGTTTGGAAAATCACTATGACTATTGCAACGAGTCTAGAAACAGAATCAAAATAATCAGAAGATATACAATGTTAATTCAAATCTGTTCATTTAATATTATTACATCATGATAATAGTCAGAAGATATACAATGTTAATTCAAATCTGTTCATTTAATCTTATTAGGAGTATTTCGCTTGGCGTAAAATAACAATATTCTTTGTAATTAAATGCGCAAAATGATGCGAAAAAATATTGAAGAACTATTTTCAAAATTGTGTAAAAGGAAAAATAATTTTTATATTTATCTTAATAAAACAAATATGTATATATTTCAAAATAGTAGATATTAAAACCGTAGTATGAAGAATAGTCCGTACTCGAATCAGTTTAGCTTTTAATTTATTTTTTTAATCATTTCACCAAAGGCAAGGCAAGGCAATACAACCTCTAAGACTAAAAAGGTTTACTGAATGTTAAAGTATATGAGAAAAAGAACAATGAAAAACAGGAATTAAGAAGACAGAAGATAGTGATTGACATTGCTTTTCGAAGATCAAACTTGACTGGAAAACAAGAAGTCGGAAGAGAGTGTCATAAGCAGGAAGTGCGAGAGAATAAACTGTTATTATATAACTTACAGCTGCATCTTCCCTTTTCAACTGAAAAATGATGAGGCCTGGTCACCAATCTATTACTGTACTTAAAATCATAAAGCCGAGGTACCATAGAGGAAAATCCATGAGAAAAATTACCGAGAAAATGTTTATAGAAAAGACACAAGGAAGCTACATTAGGGTGGTGGGAAAGTGGCTGGAGTCAAGATGCCAGGTTAGGACTGATTCTTCTTTGGATTTTATCAAGGATCTCTAAATACACAGCAGAAACACTAGACAAAAAAGAATTCCACAAAATGTTCTTCTATATCGTAAAAGTGACTGTAAAAATAAAAGAAAATTACCAGGATCTCACCCGAGAAATAAAGATACTGTGTGTCATGAATAAGGGTCAAAATTATAGTATACGTTTATCTCGTGAGATAATGAAGGCGCCCAATTTGGTCAAAATTCAGTCGTTGGTGGTGAAACTGAAGTGACCTCTCCAGAGTACAGGCCTGGGTAATGGACTATGAAGGACATGCGATATCCAAAACTTTTTGGCAGCACCGACAAAATTTGGTCAAAATTCAGTCGTTGGTGGTGAGACTGAAGTGACCTCTCCAGAGTACAGGCCTGGGTAATGGACTATGAAGGACATGCGATATCTAAAACTTTTTGGCAGCACCGACAAAATTTGGTCAAAATTCAGTCGTTGGTGGTGAGACTGAAGTGACCTCTCCAGAGTACAGGCCTGGGTAATGGACTATGAAGGACATGCGATATCCAAAACTTTTTGGCAGCACTGACAAAATTCAAAGCAATGATAGGAATTACATTTGGACCTGGCTTAGCAGCAGAAGTACCTGGAAGGTTGTCACTATCGACAGCCAACTACTTTCTCAGAAGATCTCCCTACTAGGAACATCGCATATACTAAGAAAAGTGCTATTAATTAAATGACAATTTTCCTATAGGGCCTAAGGACCATAGTTTGGACCCGATTGTGTAGGATACAAAGCAGGAAACATAACATACACAAATAATAATAATAATAATAATAATAACAATAATAATGATAATAATAATAATAATAATAAACAAAATGATTGACTAAATGATTGACACTTATAGAAGAGTGTGATTTAAGAAAATAATATAAAATAAAAGATAGTTTGCTTTACAATATTTCAACAGAATTTCTGTCTTCGTCAGTCATTTTTAAAAAGGCATATAAATACAAAAATATACAAGTCTTTGAACAAACGTTATTTGTCTAGAGAAAAAAAATGGCTGCTCTGGTAATCAAGGCGACAAAGCGAATGAAACGCAGCCAGAGGGAATGAAATGCAACTTAATGCAAGTAACATGATGGGGTGCTTACACATCTTAAAATTTTCCGTCATTTGGTTAGAGCAATTAATTACTAATAGCATAAATCTTATACGGAATGTTTCTGTTCCTTTGTTCATTCACCCTGGGTGGGACATTAGTAATTTACAAATGTAATCTTCAGACATTTTAAGAGTTGAAAGGTCGGCGAATTCTTGGTATTTTTCAGAATGTGTAGCTTAAGTCTTTCGTGATAAAATGTTGACCAAATTCTGTTGATATCATATTGTTGTATTGGACATCATACCTGTAGCCATCAAACCATATATTTAATGTTTTTGTTCTGCAACACACATAAATCAAGTCATATTTGGTAGATTGGGTGGCGTATAACAAATGGGAATCAGCACATTTATAATGTTCTAAAGAATATTTTTGCATATCTAACAACTCGAGTCAAGTCAGTTCCATCAAAATTCGAAGAGAAACATTAAGATTTCTTCAGAAGGTGCCGATTGTAATTGAGTTACACGAGATCGAAAAAGGTCTGGAAATTGATTTAAATTTAAAAACCTTGAAAATAAGCTTTAAAGAAAATGGTTAATTGGAAAGATCGCCAACATGTTGGGATTCATGGATTCTGGTTGAAACAATTGATGACTTCATGAAAGACAAGAAGAATATAGCTGGAAAAAAGTGTTGTTCCTGGAATGGATGATGATAGAAAATATAATATGATCCAAAAAGATTCTAAGAATGAAACAAGCCATACAGTGCAGATATGTCAACCAAATAAAATAAAATAAAATAAACAGAAATCAATGAGTAAGTAAATAAATAATTCAATAAAATTATAGGAAAAAAAATGAACTACTCTATTTAAATGGACGAACTTAAAATCTATACGAAGAACTAAAGGACACATTGGAAGCAACTAAAACTTCAGGCAGCTCACAGGAATGGGATTTCGCTTTGTAAATATATATAATGTTTATAATGAACAAGATGTAATTAATCAACTAGAATATCATTAGGGAACGCAAGCTATATGTATCTTTTTTTAATTTTGGACCTAGATACCCTCAAACAGGAAGCAATAAAGTAAAAAAAGTAAGTAATGAATATACAAGAAAAATATATCAACTAAAACTTACAAGAATAAATATCTGGGTATTTTATATTATGATGTACTTCGGACAATACGTAAACTGAAAAAGTGATGAATTCAAATCAAGAAAACTGATGACAATAGACAAGTTATACTTAAAAAGAAAAGGAGTGGACTTTGTTGACTCAGCTATCGAGGGATTGTATGAGTACGTAAGACAAGGGAAGGGGAGACAACTTACAAGATACAGACATGGACATGACTGTGTAGGGGTAATATAACGACAGAAACTGTGTTTTTCCCAATAACGACACAAAATAATACCATAAAAACAAAATATACAAAAGCTCATATAGGTAGAATAACAGAAAAATAGTAACTGTAGATTGTGGGAATAAAGATGAGATAGTTTGCTACATAAACAGTAAATGTAAAAATTTGTCCGAGAAAATGCAAGAACAGGCATTATTGTTGGAAAGGTGATCCACTGGGAATTGTGCAAGGGACGTAGTTTTAATCATGCAGGTCAATGGTATATGTACAGACCAAATTCTTCTTGATAATTTTAAATGAAGATCATCTGAGACTTTGCTGAAACGGATTACGCAATTTGGACCATATGACGAGAATTAAAAATAGTAAAAAGAATAAAAGAACGTATCAGAAAGTTAATATTGTAGTTTCTGTAGAGCGTAAATCATAAGGAAGCGAAAAGACAATTCTGAAATATCAATGTACAGTCGTAACAATTGTTATAGGAACAAACAATCCTCGGAAAAAAGCGAGAGGAACGAGACAGAGGAAGAATTGAAACCATCTACATAATAGCTGAATTAAAATCTTCTAGAATATTGAAGAGAGTCATGCACTATTGAAGATACTTGGTTACTTTGACTCTAGCGAAAACTACTAGTGTAAAAATTGGAGGAGAAATAATAAGAAATCCAAGAGGTGGTAGATCTAGAAACATGAACGTTGCATATGGACGGGTTCTTGAAGAAGGAAACTGAAAGGATGATATGTGCTCTGCAGGAGCAGATTCTTGAACAAATTCCATCAGATGCACTCTTGATAGAACCACTGGTTTGCTCTTGTGCAGACTGTGTAGGAAGCTATTGAAAGTTTGCGACACATTACCAATGGCTGCTCTCGGCTTGCACACAAAAAGTACAGACGACGCCATGACAAAGTAGCCCTCAGAATATAGTAATAAATATGCAGGAAGTATGATTTTGATTACTCAGAGAAGTGGTACGAACATTCACCAACGTCTGTAGTTGTGAATCTACAAGTGAAGCTTATATGAGATATAGCCATCTTGACTGATAAGCTCTTGGAGAGAAATTTCCTTGATATTACACTAGTGCGCAAGAGCAGCCATGAATAACTGATAGATGTTGCGATAAATTGGGATAAGAACACCGTGAATATGGAACAAAAATCCAAAGGTATCAAAAACTGGGTCATAGAAATATGTCAAGCAGCAACTCAAGTTGTCCCTTTTGTAGTTGGCGCCATCTGAAATATTTCCAAGGATTTGTGGATGCCTTGCATCATTGAGAGTGCGCGGATAACAGTATTACTTAAAACAGCTGATGCGCCGACGGAAAGGGTGTGCATCTAAGCTGGATATAGAAGCTGACATAAGACATCATCACTTGGCCAAAACATCTAGAAATCGGAGAGGATTACAAATGAAATAATAATAATAATAATAATCTGACATTATTGGGAGTGCGCAGGTGACAAATGTGCTTGGGACAGCTCAGGTATTGAGGAAAGAGTTGTCTCTTTAAGCAATGGTTGAAGCTACGATATGATCATCAACATCGGGCTTAAACATCTAAGAATCGGAAAGGATATCAAATAATAATAATAATAATAATAATAATAATAATAATAATAATAATAATAATCGTGTTTACCCCATGCAAGTCAGTAAACCACAGAGATGAAAGGGGTTACTGGTTGTCGAAGAGTTAGAAACAGAAACATTGCTAAGGAGCAAGAACAGAGAAAAAATAATCAGGAGGACAATTAATAGAGATTGGCACAAGCGAGAAGTGCGAGTAAAGAAACTATTAACATAGAATTAGCAGCTACATCTAGTCAGCGAAACGATAAAATGGTGAAACCTCGTTGGCAGTCTAGTACTGCGCTTAAGTTCTAGGCATCATAGCGAAGAGCTCGTCTTAACAATTTCCATGAAAGTATTTATAGAAAGGGTAAAGGGAGGCAACCTTACAGTGGTGGAAAGTTACTGAAGCCGAGATGCTACATCGAGGCCAATAATTTTGATGATTCTTCTTTGGATTTTATCAAGGAGCTCTAGATAAATAGCAGGAGCGGCGAACCATATATAGCATGGACGAATGGTAGACTTGTAATATAGGCTCTACAGAGAAAAAATGTCTGGCACAACACAGTGAACCTACTTTCTTAGCAGCTGATCTAGTAATAGATTTAATATAGTCTGTCCACTTCATATCAGCTGAGAACGTTAGCCAAAGAAGGAGCAGCGAATTATTATTTAGGGGGTTAGCGTCAGTCATAATGATGGAAGGTAGAAAGGGTTCTCTCCGATGATTTATTGAGAGCAGTTTAGTTTTGGAAGCGTTAAAATTGATAATCCATCCTTTGCTCCGGTTAACAATAGATTGAAGGCCATTTTGGATATCAGCTGCCATTTTGACTTTATCAAACTGATCAGACCTACTATTGAGTAAATGGTTGTGTCATCAGAGTACATAGCAAGTTGAGATTTGATATCATTGGGAAGGTTATCAATGAAAACAAAAAACAAAGTAGGACCAAGAATAGAACCCTGAGGGAGATGTTAAAAAATATTACTGTCTGGACATGCTTCATTTACTAGGAAGAGTATTAACGATGTTAAGCAATTATAAACACTTGACATGTTAAATATCCATTAACATCAGAATTTACGCAAACACAATTCATATATTTAGTCTTATGCTATGTCTCGGGTAACGAAACGTTAAGGGATCGTACTAAACAGAAAATAAAAGAAGACAACAACAACAACAAGAATAATAATATCAAATTCTAACATTGACGCAACAATAATGATTATAGGTACGTTTTGTGTGGAATTTTGCAAATAAAGATGAATATAGATGCATTTACGCACACACACACACAAAAACTAACTAGCTGGTACATTAGATAGATAGATAGATAGATAGATACATACATACATACATACATACATAGATATAAACAGATTGATATATATATATATATATATATATATATATATATATATATATATATATAGACAGATAGATAAGAACAGACTGAGATAGATAGAGAGACAGACAGATAGATAGATAGATAGACACACAAACACACACACACAAAAACACACAAATATATATATATATATATATATATATATATATATATAGATATATAGATAGATAGATAGATAGATAGATAGATAGATAGATAGATAGATATGAATAGACTGATATATATGTACAGATAGATAGGTAGAGATAGATAGATAGTTAGGCAGATAGACATCTATCTATCTATCTATCTATCTATATATATATATATATATATATATATATATATAATAGTACACGTTTGGAAAACCTTGGATAGCTCAACTTAAAGTAGAACAAATCGGTATCTGCTGGAGAAATTGGAAAAAAAAAACTACGAACCAAGAACATTAAAACGATATATATATATATATATATATATATATATATATATATATATATATATATAAAGATAGATAGGTAGATAGTTATAAACAAACTGATACATTGATATAAATAAACTGAAACAGATATGAACAGATATATATATATATATATGTGTGTGTGTGTGTGTGTTTGTGTGTGTGTATCTATACCCATATAGATAGGTAGATAGATAGATATGAACAGACTGAGATAGATAGATAGATAGATAGATAGATAGATAGATAGATAGATAGATAGATAGATAGATGTTACAATCAATCATTGGGCGGAATGGATGTGTACAATGTACAAAGTAGCATAAACTTAATTCAACAAGAATTTACAATGAGAAAAGTAAAATGCATCAAAGAACAAAGGGAAGCTATCAGTTATTAACAGAAAGATTAATTATATTGGATTCAAAACATAAAATTGGTTCTATTATCTGGGATAAAATCTCAAGCGAAATGTCCGCTAACAAATAATGGAGGCATAAATCTTAATGCATTAAATGATCTATATACGCACAAGCTCAGACGGCAAAAATCTAAAGCAACAGCAAATGTAAATTATAAGAATGAATAGAACGATATCAACCCGATATAGTAAACAAACATAAAACAATTTATATACAGAGGTATGTTTATTTTTGAATAACAATAGACTGAGAACTGTGAAAGCGATTAAGTTATTACGAAAACATGGCACTAATCATGGTTGATCTGAAATTAGAAATATACCAATGTTTTCAATAAAAACTCCAGAAATATACTGTGTAGTTATATAAATATACTATCACGATTTTGGTTATTATGTAATTAATCTCTATTTACATTATTCGGACTGTAGTCTTCATCTTTGTCGCCATATTTATTACAACGTTTCGGCCTTTCAGTATCTGTCTATATTTCTGAAATGAGGTATTATGTACACTATTTACATTATTCAGACTATTGTCCTCATCTTTGTCGCCATATTTATTACAACTTTTCGGCCCTTCCGTATCTGTCTATATTTCTGAGATGAGGTATGATGTACACTATTTACATTATTCGGACTATTGTCCTCATCTTTGTTGCCATATTTATCAAAACGATTCGGCCTTTGTACGCTCCGGCCTTCTTCAGGTGGTTGGAATGTCGAACTGAACCCTTTATTTCGCTCACTGGGGTAGACTGTTTTAGTTCCACGTGCCATGTTTTAATGGATGTCAGTTATCTCCTGTTAATTCCCATCTCCAAGTTCTCCACAGCCTTAACCGGGTATAGAACTCACACACTCACATTAAACATAGCACGTGGAACTAGAACAGTTTACCCCAGTGAGCGAAATAAAGGGTTCAGTTCGATATTCCAACCACCTGAAACCGTTGTAATACGGCAACAAAGATAAGGAAAATAGTCGGAATAATGTAAATAGCGATTAAGTTATTACGAAAACATGCCACTAATCATGCTAGATCTGAAATTAGAAATATACCAAACTCCAAAAATATACTATCTAGAAAGTAGCTAAGGTCTTTCCTTAGTCAAATCATTGGCAAAGCATTTTCATAGTAGGGCCATGTGCATTGCATTTTTTATGATAAAATAATTTACAATGCATTTTTATAGTAAAATCATTAACACTATATTTTCATAGTGAAATCATTTACATTGCATTTTCATAGTAAAACATTTACATAGTAAAATCATTACCAATGCATCTATATATTAAAATCATTCGTAATCGTTGGCAATGTATTTACATAGTAAAACCATTTGCAATTCAATTAGATAGTAAAATAATTTCAAAGCATTGTCATAGAAAAATCTTTGGCAATGCATTTTCATAAAATGATTGGCATTATATTTTTATAGTAAAATCATTGGCATTGTATTTTTTATAGTAAAATCATTGGCAATGTATTTTTGTAGTAAATCTATTGACAGTCCATTTACATATTAAAATCATTGGCAATGCATTTTCATAGGAAAATCATTCGCATTGCATTTTCATAGTAAAATGATTTGTGATTTCATTGTAATTCATTTTTATGATAAGATAATTCGCAAGCACCTGGTAAGTGTTAGCAAGGCTATTCTGGTTGACTCTTAATATGAGTAATGAGTTTGAATCGCACTAGTTGCTCTATACTTGTGCCCTTATGGCTAAATAATACGAGCACTCCGGATTATTGTAAAGGTCAGCATTGTAGCCTCGTCGACTATTACTGTATACCCCATATTTCTGTCCTCATAACAAACTAACTACTAAATAGTAACCATACTAATAAATGGGATATCTAACCCTGGTATGATAATTAGGAAGGAAGTCTGATTTAGAGTTAATGTTTATAGTGTGTTCGATCATCAGCGGACTCCTCATAGATAACGTCAGTAATTATCAACTGTGATAATAATAATGGAGAAAGATTAAAACGATTTTCCAATAATAGACATATTTATATACAACCAATATCGATGAAACTATATAAAATAATGTTTTTATATACAACCATACATAAACAGAACATTTAATACGCATAATAATAGAAGATTTATATATATATATATATATATATATTCATTTTAAAAGTAGTTCATTGATGCTTAAGTTTACAACCGAAGAAGTTTCGTCTTAAGCTATATCAGTTTAAGCAATTTCATCTTTATGACCCAGCCTTTATGATTGATGAGAGTTCTCTCCGGGGCTTCAGTCACTTTTGTCGTTCTGTTCGCTGTCCAGATGTCATTGTTGCCTGCCGGTCAATTTGCTAGTCTGTAATTGCACCTCGCAGCTTCTTTATTTTATGTCCCCTATTTTTCTTTTGTCTTTTTTTTGCCATTGAGTAACAATAAAAATGGTAGCAGTTTAATATTAAAAAAAATTATGAATATGTCTATAGAACAGTTAATTTACTGAAAGATCCAAAACGTGTAAGTATTTTTATGCATAAGGTTTTAACGAGTATCTCGATACTTCAGTCATGAAATAGGTGATAAAAGTTATCGTTTTGCATTCAAGGGTATCTATACACCAATATACATATATATATATATATATATATATATATATATATATATATATATATATATATATATATATATATATATAAAGGTAAGGTATAGCCGAAAGCGCTCGGAAATATAAAACATTCGGACAGTTCTTACACACCCTTTGTCCAAAAAAGAAAGCTCTTGTCAGAACACAAGAAAAATTAAATAAAAGCTCAACCGCAGTACCTTTTTTTTAATGAAACATGCATATATATATATATATATATATATATATATATATATATATGTATTATTATTATTAAATGGACAAAGCCCGACAATTATTTTAAGACATTTTGGGTTTATACATTCTTTTATAGATACAAATATTTAAGTAAATGCTCTGTTTATAATAAACAGTATTTAACAGCATTTACCGACCTGAATGTCCGAGAAATTTTCACAGAAAATCGTAAAGTTTAGACGCAATCGTCAGAATACTCGCGGTCTGACGATTGCGTCTAACATGATACAGCCTGTGGTCTTTGAGTGCTGACTTCAATATTCACTTTTATATTTACATACGCTCTATCTCTGGTATTGAGCACTTTATCCCATAAATATTGCACACCTTAAAACTATATTTCTTCTTCTTATATATATATATATATATATATATATATATATATATATATATATATATATATATGAGTAAAGACAAAGGAAAAATGATGGACTTTTACCAACGTAAATCATCTGCGTTAATAAAATCCCTCGCAGGACGAGACACATCGGCTAAGATAAGTTTCGATTTTGTCTTTATTCATATTGTCCTTTTATAGATATATTATATCTGAAAAATTTACACACACACACACACACACACACACACACACACACACACACACACACACATATATATATATATATATATCCAATCAGGAAACAGTAATACAAGTGCTCAATAAATGTGTGATAAAATAAAAATGACATGTAGACCTTTTACTTTACAATAACATGTAGAGCTTTTACTTTTAAAGTATACATACATACATACATACATACACACACATATATATATATATCTTAATATGTATATTAAAATGTTTGTGGATTGTATGTATACGTATAGTGGCATATATGTATGGACATGTAAATGTACATATAGGTATGTATGAAGATATGTATGCATGTAAGTGTGTTAGCATGATTTATTCCATTGGGTGCTTGGGTATTACCCGCAATCTATAAATCTATAACTCAACTAATTTGCATTAATCTTAACGGGTTTAAGTTAAAATCCGCCATCGCTTATTGATAATATTGCACACCTGTAGTACAAAAACTATTTACTGTGAATCCCAGAAAAACACATTCAGGGCCTGTATAATACACGCCCCATAGTAGGAACTGATATAGTAGGAAGTGATATTAAACTAATTAATTAATTAAATTAGAACCAACAAAGCTTCTGGCCACAAATAACACCAGACCGCTTCACCCGGGATAAGATATTTTACGCCCCACCAATCGCTAACACAAACTCAAGGCGCCTACTAGAAGAGGACGGACATTGAAAATTAATTTAAAACACTTAGAGACTGATGATAGCTGCGCACAGAAAGGCTTGAAATAAACTATCACTATGTTGAGGTAATTATTTTTTTGCTGTAAAATATGCATATGCTTTGCTAAAATAAGAACATCGTGCTCTCTGTGGATCAGTTTTAATAATTTATTACTAGGATCCACCCGGATTATATACCTACGGATCGATTATCTGCGATATATATATATATATATATATATATATATATATTGCAGAAAAGACAATTTGCCTTTACACCCGGCACACACACACACACATACACACACACACACACACATACACACACACACACACACACACACTAAAGTGTGTGTATGTGTGCGTACCGGGTGTAAAGGCAAAATTGACTTTTTCGCAAAAGGTTTAATATCTAAAAGAAAAATAAACCCTAAACTAATTGATTTTCTCTTTTCCAGTTGACGTTTAGCCATCTTGACACCATTTTTGTAGGAATCACTGAAAAACACTTTGAGTAATTCAGTAAAACAGGTTAAAATCGTTTTGTGTCTTCCCAACTGAGTAATGGTAAGAGGCCTTCAGTAATGGTACCAATATTCCTACTCTGGCTTCCATCTTCAAAGTCCATTCAAGGACCATCAAAAGAACAGTGAATGACTTTTAAACAAGGAGAACAGTAGAAAGAAAAACTGAACCAGGAGGTCACAACAGGAAGAGGGATTATCATTTTAACTTAGAGCTAAAAATCTTTTTATGGTTCAAAGTAGAAGCTACGTTACGGTGATGGGAAAATGAGTGAAGCCCAGATGCCCAGATCAAGACTGTACCTAAGAGGAAAGCTCATCAGAACAATTAGCATGAAAGTATTTATAGAAAAGACAAAGAGAAGCTACATTACGGTGATGGGAAAGTGAGTGAAGCCGAGATGCCAGGTTAAGACTGTAACAAAGAGGAAAGCTCATCAGAACAATTAGCATGAAAGTATTTATAGAAAAGGCAGAGAGAAGCTACATTACGGTGATGGGAAAGTGACTGAAGCCGAGATGCCAGGTCAAGACTGTAACAAAGAGGAAAGCTCATCAGAAAAATTACCATGAAAGTATTTATAGAAAAGGCAGAGAGAAGCTACATTACGGTGATGGGAAAGTGAGTGAAGCCGAGATGCCAGGTCAAGACTGTACCAAAGAGGAAAGATCATCAGAACAAATACCATGAAAGTATTTATAGAAAAGGCAGAGAGAAGCTACATTACGGTGATGGGAAAGTGAGTGAAGCCGAGATGCCAGGTCAAGACTGTACCAAAGAGGAACGCTCATCAGAACAATTACCATGAAAGTATTTATAGAAAAGGCAGAGAGAAGCTACATTACGGTGATGGGAAAGTGAGTGAAGCCGAGATGCCAGGTCAAGACTGTACTAAATTTATTGAAAAGCACAGGAAAAATAGGTTACAGCGGTGAGAATGTAAATGAAGCAGAGATGCCAGGTCAGGACCAATAACACTACAGATTCTTCTTTGGATTTTATCAAGAATCTCTAAATATATCGCAGGAGTACGCGTCTAGATGTGGCAGCAATATTCAATGCATGGGCGAATGGTAGACTATGGTAGAATATGCCAGAGAGATTCTGGCGATGAAAAATGTTTAGTACGACACAATGAACTACATTTCCTAGCAGCATAACTAGCAATTGATTTAATGTTATGTCCATGTTAGAGAAAAGCTTTAGCTCGAGAAAGCACAATGAGGCACTATCCAGAAGGTTGGCATCAGCTATGCTAATGGAAGACGAAAATTGTTCAGATTCAGATAATTAAAAGAGTGCACTTTTGTTTTGAGGGCATTAAAAATTAACAATCCATTTCTTGCCCCAGTTAACAAATGTTTGTAGGTCATTTTTTTAGATCAGCTGCCATATCGAACGGATTAGACTTATCATCTTGCATTTTAATATAAGCTCTGTGACATTTTATAGCATTCATCGATCTTTCAACCATTGATTTTATTAACTTTTCTACTGCTTTCATTTTAAAATTATTGACTTTAACTTCCTATACATCTAATTTGTTTTAGTATTGCTTTCTATACATGTATATTTTGGTGATATGTTACACGTTTTCTGTTGGGTTAATATCTGGATAGTGATGGCATCAACGATATGTGCGAACAAGGGGATCTTCAAATTGTAGGAGATATTAACAGCAAAACATATAAATAAATGCATACCAACCACAATATAAGTTGTTGTATAGGATTATGTGTTTGCGACTTTTAAATTTGTTACAACTAATGAATAATAATCAAATAATAATTGGATAATATGATTAGATTATCGATCTTGTTTTGCAATCATAATAAAACCTCGCTTCATTCTCTTTCCGGATCAAAAAAATAAATAAAAAATAAAAAAAGATGACAATGTTTAATTTCCGTGATCGCAAAGAAAAAAAAAACCCAAAACGTGTGTCAAATGATCAGTTATTCCCTTGACACTGCTGTTACTGGACAATGATTATTGTTTTAAATGGTGATTATTAGAATTGTAAGAAAACCCAAACATATGAACGTGGATTTATACATTTTCTTTATTCTTGAGAATTAACAAAGATATTAAACTTTATTTATTAGATTGATTATTTAGAAGAGTGATTTTATAAAAAAGATTATAAAAATATATGAACCACCTATAACGAAAATGTCTGTGAACAAATTTTAATAAACACATAATGGTAAAAATTAAAAAAAACACACACACACACACATTTACCAGGCATTTCTTTCAATTGCTCTTCACACATAAATTCACTAGAATAGGTTAAAAGCATCTCTTCCTCTAAACCAAATGTTCTTTTAATTTTAGATTTTAGACAGGGCCAAAAACGCTCCATATTTTGAGTGTGTATCTTTCTATTCATAGGATGGACAAACGTTTTCCTTGTGTATTATTACTGAATTTCTGTAATTTTTACCTTAATATTATATTGTAAGTGATTTAAATATGTTCATAATTTTCTTTTTTTTTTATAAATTTTTGAATAACAATACTTCTTTTTAAATTTATTTCTTTATAAAATGGTCTCGAGGCAACGGAGGTATGGTTCTACAGAAGGATGCTGAGGATATCATGGACCAAGCATGTGAGCAACGATAAGGTTTTGGAGAGGATGCAAACAAGGAGGAAGCTTATATTTAATATCAAGAAGAGGCAGATGAAATTTCCGGTTCATGTAATGAGAAAGGAGGGCTGGAGAATCTGATACTCACAGGGCGAATAGAGGGAAAGAGAGACAATGGAAAACAACGCGTTACATTCCTATCGGAATAAGCAAATGGATGATAGAACATGGCCTGGGGGAAGTAGCAAAGGAACAAAACTTATTGAGAGCCACAAGGGATAGAGGGAAGTGGAGAGCCATGATCACCTACGTCCTGAAGGGACACGGTACATAAAAAAAGAAGAAATAACAAATCTTTATAATAAGTAAATGATAAATAACGCGTTGTACTTGGTTCACATATTTGTATAATCTTATAAATAAAGAATGCCAAGGGAGTGAAAAATTAGTAGCGGAGTCAAGGGAATAACCGTCATTTCGATACACTATTTTTTGAATGGAGAGTTGAGAAATATAACATTCACTGAGTTAGTATTTAAACCATATACGCTTTTTGTGAAATTTCAGTATATGCAACCAATCAAACACAATTTAATAAAAACATATATTTCAATAAGTACGACCGTAAAAATATAAATAGCGGGAATGAGTTACCTCCCTTGCTGTCACCGTTGTGATTACTGTAAGAGTAGTAATTTTATACTGCTCTCACAGTAATGACAGCGGTAACAGCAAAAGAAGTAACACATTTACTGTGGAAAGCTAATTTCGCATATGCTAACAGAAATGTATAATATTAGATTATCGTTATTCTTGTAAATCTAGGCGACAATATTAAAGTAACGACGTCAATTAAAAAATTATAATAACTTGTAAAGTTAATGAACTGTTTTATTTTAAGAGTTTATAAGAATAAAAAAAATACAAATAAAGGATAGGGTACAAAGCTCATGATATAGTAAAGTTGATAAGGTTAAAATTTACTCATATTGGAGATGTTTATGATAATAGAACGTTATTATGTCGAATATAAAAGGTTGAATTTTAATTTAGATCGATAACTGGCGTCTGCGCAACAATGTAAACTATCAGACAAATGTGCCATCAATATCATTAGTTAGTTCTCTTGGTGTCTCTCTATTTTACTGTCTTTCTCACTCTCTGTCTCTCTGTCTGCCTATCTCCCTCCCCCTCTCTCTCTCTCTTACACACGCATACACCCATTCGGATAGATAGATAGATAGATAGATAGATAGATAGATACGAACAGACTGAGATAGATAGATAGATAGATAGATAGATAGATAGATAGATAGATAGCTAAGTATAGGTTGAAAATAGATAAAGAACAGAGCTAGATAGGTAGAAAATGAAGGGATTGAGATAGATAGATAGATAGATAGATAGATAGATAGATAGATAGATAGATAGATAGATAGATAGATAGATAGAGTGAGAAATGTGGGAGGCACATAGATAAGTATAGGTTGAAATATATATATATATATATATATATATATATATATATATAAAGAGAAAGACAGAGAGGAGAAAGAGGGGAAGGTAATTAAGTACATAGATAAATATAGGTTGAAATAGAAAAAATAGATAAAGAACAGACTGATATATATATATATATATATATTTATATATATGTACACACACATATGTGCAGAGAGAAACAGATTCAGATAGATAGATAGATAGATAGATAGATAGATAGATAGATAGATAGATGAACAAAATAGAATAGTACATATTGAAACTTGCGTGCATTAATGTATATCCATGCTTCATTACAGGTTTGTAATATTTCTCATAATTCCGAAACTTATTTCATTCCCCGGCTTGCTTTCGCTCACACATTTGTGAATAGAAACTATTCAATCTTTCTTCTTTACAATCTGTTGCTCTAAATTTATTGGCCCGATCCACATCACAAAATCTGACCGAATGTCCAAGTATCAGCACTTGGAAAGAATCCTTCTTTGAGCAGAAACCTTTCAGTACAACTCATAAGAGTATTTAATTTATCAATCACTCTCAATACGACAGAATCACTCACAACATATTCAAATGTAAGTATATTTTTCTTTTAATCTTTTAGCTTAAAATAAGACATCGTATATTATTCTTATTTGTGCATCCATAACCAACATTGGAAAATACACGAGGTGCTGATAAATCCTCACACCTCATCTTCACTTCCCAATATATGACCTAATGAACTTTATAATTTATTTTTGAAAATTTTTCAGCGACCTTGATAATGGAATTTTGTTTGTCATTGATTTCAGCAAAAACAATATTGCAGAATAAATATTGCAAAATTACTATCAATGTATTGAAATGTGACTATTTCTAATTTCAAGCTTCCAGAGTAACTATTTTAATTTAGGGAATAGAATAAATACAATTGAAAATCCATCAATGTTGATAGGCTCTCAATCTGGAAAATTCCCAAAATATTACCATTTATTTAGCAAGAGTATCCTGGTTGATTCAGTTTCTTTTCCTGCACTCCTCGACATGGAAGTCAGTTTATGATTTATCTTATCAAATTAATAGAATTTTCTCAACATTGCAGTTTACTCACAAATGAAATTAAATGCGAGTATTTTTCATTTTAATCTTTTAGATTAAAATAAGATATTATATACATTTTTTTTATTTATGTAATGGAATAAATTGCAATTGAATAATCGAGTTCCTGATCTTATTTACTTCCCCAGTTTTGGCTAATTCTTCAAATATTAGATTTTTTTTTCTTTTAGTTTGGAGGGGCATCTTGCTTGGGCCTGGGATATTTTAACACCTATACGTTTATTCACATTCCAATAACCGGTTCATTGTTTCGGTAAACACAAACGTAAACGCATTTACACTACGGATCAATCTCTGTTCAACTATCTTTTCTTTCTTTCTTTCTTTCTTTCTTTCTTTCTTTCTTTCTTTCTTTCTTTTCATTATAATAATCATTCTGTCCAAAAGTCTTTGGTAATTCATGCTAACCTTCATATATGTTATAGTCTTCTGGATCTTTTTTTCATTATAATAATCATTCTGTCCAAAAGTCTTTGGTTTCTTTCATATTTATTTGAATTTCTTTCTTTCTTTCTTTCTTTCTTTCTTTCTTTCTTTCTTTCTTTCTTTCTTTTCATTATAATAATCATTCTGTCCAAAAGTCTTTGGTAATTCATGCTAACCTTCATATGTTATAGTCTTCTGGATCACTTGAATTTCTTTCTTTCTTTCTTTCTTTCTTTCTTTCTTTCTTTCTTTCTTTTTCTTTCTGTCTGTCTGTCTGTCTTTCTTTTCATTATAATAATCATTCTTTCGAAAAGTCTTTGGTAATTCATGCTAGCCTTCATATATTATAGCCTCCTGTATCACTTGAATGTCTTTCTTTCTTTCTTTATTTCTTTCTTTCTTTCTTTCTTTCTGTCTGTCTGTCTTTCTTTCTTTTCATTATAATAATCATTCTGTCCAAAAGTCTTTGGTAATTCATGCTAACCTTCATATGTTACAGTCTTCTGTATCATTTGAATATCTTTCTTTCTTTCTTTCTTTCTTTCTTTCTTTCTTTCTTTCTATCTATTTCCCGACTATGTACATAGGCTATATCATTCTTTACACACTATTTTCTTTCATATTCTACGTTTTTCTCACAATGGCATCATTACCTTAAACTATATCTAAGCATATATGAATGCACATCCATACACTCCTTTAATTGCATATATGTTATACGCATACAGGCAAACAATAATTTCAATTTAATTAACTCTAAACTATATAAGTAAATAAAATGAGTAAGCATGTACAATATACTCATAGAATAACACAATTCCCATTAATACACACCCGCCAACACGTGAACATATGTACACACAATCATATGGTTTCCATTTTTCTCCAGATAAACCCATCACCCACATTCTCACAAAAATGTTTTCAAGCATACGTATAGGTTAATGTACTTAAAAATCACATAAGCGAATACTGAAATCATTTGGATACACTTACGCACACAGAAATACCAAGCTCAACGTCTTTTGAAAATAATTCCTGTCTTCTATTATCGATATTCTAATTCCAATAATTTCCACTTCTTAACTCGTGCCACAATCAATTCGCCAGTTGCACCAAGACGTGACCAATCCAACGCTTGTGCAAATCAGACGCTCTTCTCCTCTCTACTGCTTTCTGTGAAGAATAACTTCTCTATTCTTGGCTTTATTTGCTAACGACATGAAATTCCCTAATCAATTCTTCCATACTGTCCTCATAGAAAAGTATCAAATCTAATATGTAACAATTATTTTCTGAAAAACGAATAAAATTAACGAAAATTAGACATTATGGCTTAATGGTCACACAAGTAGAATATTGACGTCAATGTCTTTGGTTCAACAGCAAATGGAGAATTAATTCTTTGCAATGCTTTGCATAAAGAAATTTGTTTAAAGGTCTCTTCGTGTACTTAATTATCGATGCGTAAAATCCAAGAGTGTTTATGAACTAAAATTACAAACTAGCATTTCCATTATTAGGTGTCTATTCGACCAGGGAAGGTACAAATTAATTTTGAATTTTTTAAACTTTAAATGGTTTTCCAAACCTACTTTTACCAAGACTCCCTGTTTATTGCATAATGAGATAAATACCAATCAACCATTTATTAAGAATTATAGTTGTTAGTACCTTTTTAGAAAAGCTTATGTTTACTTACATTTTTTTTAAAGTATTTAACAGAAATTTCTACATAGGCTTCCGGAAATAAAATGAATATCTTGTGTCTATTCGCTCGTAGTTAATTTTACCGTTTAATATGCATATCTGTGAATGTGCGAGTGCTACGGTTATTGACACAGATCGTAGAACCAGCGATCTCTGTTCAAATTCTAACCCAGTTATTTTTATTTACTTATGATCAATTTCTTATCCGCTCAAGCTAAAGAACAGGAAAGACTAGAATATGTAAGACAATTCTGAATTCAAAACATTAGAGAAGTCGACGGGAATCCTCACGACTGTCTTTCATAGCAATTCACAAGTATTAAAGTATGTTGTCAGTCAGTCAGTTGTGCCATGCGTGGTACAGGTATAGGCGATTATGTATCTTTCGATACATGACTGACGAGGCAGATATTTTTTCCTGCAGTAGGTTGCCATTTATTTCTGCGGTAGACCAGTTGCCATCCAAGGCTACAGAAACCGGTTTGTTCTGCTATTTATCCATAGATGAGGGAGTCGGTAGAAGAGGATTAATACTTTTTCCAAGGTTGTTAGCACGTAAGAGAATGTAATGGATTCAACTGGAATTCGAACTCGGCTCTCCGAGCCGGTATTCATTACTCCATTGTGCCTCCTCACATCTTGCAGGGACATAACATTAAAAAAATGCTTGTGTATCTGACATGGATTCAGAAACAATTTGGTACCTGACACTTGATAGAACTAATTCAGAGTATCCTTCTATTGCAATGGTAGTAGAGAAGACTATAACATATGAAGGTTAGCATGAATTACCAAAGACTTTTAGACAGAATGATTACTATAATGAAAAGAATGAAAGACATAAAGAAAAAAAGACATTCAATTGATACACAAAACGGTAACATAACCATAGCATAATTTACCAAAGACATGTAAATAGAATGATTAGTATGATGTAAAGAAAGAAAGAAAGAAAGAAAGAAAGAAAGTAAGTAAGTAAGACATACAAATGATACAGAAGTCGATAACATATGAAAGTCAGCAGGAATTACCAAAGACTTTTGCACGGAAAGATTATTATTTTTTATGTCCATAGTCACAAATGGCATACACTGTTTTATTTTTGGAAATATTTATGACTAAGAAAAGTTTTAAAATATCTTCTGAATGAATATTTATATCCTGAAAACTTTTCTTTGTAATTATTTTTGTGATTTGAAAGAGCATTAATTTTTGGCGACGATTCAAAACAGAGAAGAATAGTTGGCCTGTTATCAGTTAAATTTGGTACCAACAAAAATATCAACTAATTCTAGGAAGTTCTGTCTTCGACAGTTATCGGTGACCGTGTTTGATTTGTTGGGTGATAATGCAAAAACATTCTTTTAAGAACAGAAAGATATGAAGATCTTAATTTGAAAAAAGGTTTTTCATATATTTTGCCATGTAATCGAAAATGCAACTATTTACACATACACATGCTTTTTTATATATATATATATCTTTACACAAATATACACAATTGCATACTGCAATTGATCTTAATGAAATGATTGGTTACCAAGCACCTGTTTAAGTCAACTATTGATCAAAATATTGAAAGAACAAGCATTAGAGACGTAATTACAAGGAAATATTTATTAGTTTGAACATGTCTCTTTCTAACAGATTTTCTTCTCTGACAAATAGCGCGAATTGTCAACCTAGTAATGAAAACGGAAAGAGATTTAATAATTAGCAAATAAATCATTCAAACGTGTTTTGTTTAGTAGTCACTTCCTTGTTCTGTGATATGTTTTATTCTCCTATTCCTATAATTTTCAGCCGCTGTGTCGCATCACACTGATCTACCGCATCATACTGGTGCGCCGCATCACATTGGTGTGCCGCATCACACTGTTGTGCTGCGTCATACAGTGTGACGCATCACACCGGTGTGCCGCATCATAATAGTCTGTCACACCACATTGGTCTGTAGCATCAAACTGATCTTTCGCATCACACTGGTGTGCCGCGTCACATTGGTGTGCCCCATCACA